TTCACTCGCAGTATATTATTTAAAAAAAAGAAGAATTACTAAATATTTATCAAAATTATTATATTACTCATAAAAGAAGATTATTGAAAGGAAAGTGGAACATTTAGAGAAAAAGTGTCGTATAAATAAAATTTTTCACGTTGCAACAAATAATCTAATGATCCAAATGGAAAGTCCAGCGTGCGATGACTGTGCTCCCCACGCGACAGTTAATCGGTCGATAAAAAAAAGGAGAGATGTTTCTTTATTACTCATAAAACGAAATCGAACTCGATGCGTAGAAGAAGCTGGCCTTGTAATTGCGTCTTTTGACCGGAAAAAGAGGAGGTCGTATAATCTGGTTAGCTGGTTTATTAGGCAAATTTCGAAAACCGCTGTTCTCAAGGGGGAAGTATCTGTAGAGACACGAGTTCTCGTTGTCGAGATTCGTGTCGCGTCTACGTGTCGCCTTTCCAAGGATCCCGGCAGCTTCTAGTATCGATGTCTCCGAAAACACTTTGAATCAGCAGGGCGCCGGTTCGTCGGCTACTCGAGGACGACGTCTGGATTCATCGGTTGCGAGAGCTTCCGTGCAACGATAGGAGGGCACACACACTCGATGTGCTTTTCTTCTTTCAAGTTACCCAGCGAAATTTGCTCGTATTGTAATGCCTCCCAACTTATATACATACTCTTGTGGATCTTCTGTATCGTGAGAGAGCGGAGAGCACTTTGGGATCGCAATGACGGAAGTTCGGACAAAACCAGACCGTACTTCGAGTTTCCTGGCGAATCTCTGTTCGTTTAGATTGGTTTGAAGTGTGTTTTGTATAGAAATCGAGTCGTGGAAGTCTGTTGCAACGAAGAGTATGTGCATTGCTGTTCAGGAGTATTCGGACATCTATTGTTGTGTTATTTAAATTACACATCCTCGCCAAAGTTAGTATTTTACAGTATATAGGTAATAATGGTGGTAGGAGAAAATTTTTAAAATTGATTGCTAATTTTTAAGTAAATAAAGTGAATAATAAGTTAATAATTAACTTTTAAATTTGACCCTTTTCTACTTGAGTATACTCTAACAAAGATTAATCTCAAATTAGTTAATACGATAGATAAATAAGGAATGCTTAAGAAAGAATAATTCTGTCAGGAAAGGGTTAAATGGTTTCGAAGGGTGAATAACATGGAAGAAAAATTTTTTTGATGAAAGAAATGGCAAAAATGAAAGGAAGTTTCATATATGATTTAAAATCGAATAACATGGAAGAAAAATTTCTTTGATGAAAGAAATGGCAAAAATGAAAGGAAGTTTCATATTTGATTTAAAATTTTTGAGTCCAAGGTCATTCTAAGGTCATACAAATTTTTTTCATGGAAGAAATGGCAAAACTGAAAGGAAGTTGATTTAAAATTTTCAGAATTCACGGTCATGCAAATTTTTTTTATGAAAGAAGAGGCAAAACTGAAAGGAAGTTGATTTAAAATTTTCAGAGACCACGGTCATGCAAATTTTTTTTTATGGAAGAAATGGCAAAATTGAAAGGAAGTTGATTTAAAATTTTCAGAGTCCCAGGTCATTCTGAGGTGATATTATCATTCATGTTTAAATGACAAAAAATGTATACATTCATGTAACAACTCACAGGCGACCTTGAAAATGAGGAAGATAAGTAGATAAGATAATTAGGTGGCCTGTTTCACGCGGCTCAATTAATTAACCCAGAGAAGATAATTAGGTGGTCTGTTTTATGCGGCCCACCCTGTATACAGGATGTTCACGCTATTAGTCTCCAACGTTTCTCTCCCATAAGTGGTAGATTTGTGAGAAAAACAGGAGAAGACAAAGTTTCATTATTTTTCACACACAGTACGATGGCTGGAACAGATTTTTCAAACATTCAATGGAATCATTCTTTTAAAGGATATTAATAATTTTGCAACGACTGATGAACGGGAGTGTGTATGTATTCGGGAAAATTCGAAATGTTTCATTTTACGTTTTATTCAGCTGTTACACGTGTTATTATCATACATATTGTACAGTATTGTTCAGAGTGAAATAATATACCGCGACAGTGTGTTAATTTGTATTACGTTACATTATCTTACCGGTGCATATTACTGTCTTCTTTCTTCTTCTTCTTTTAACTTTCGTTAAATTCGACATTTTCTGCATAATACTGCATACACCGAAACTGTGATTCAATTTTCTGCGTATTACGAATAATATTGAAACAAACAAAGTCAGTGTAAATTCCTAAGAAAGGTCAATTTTTAAATTCCAAAGAAAATTCCTAAGAAAAATTCTGTTAAAAAGACGTCAAACTGTGAACAATTATATTACGTAAAAATCTGAACAAATATTCCTTAAAAGTTAAATTAGCCTTCAAGCCCTAAACAAGTCTTCGTAATTCCAAAGTAAATTCCTAAATTCCTAAGAATTCCTAAGAAAAATTCTATCAAAAAACGTTAAACTATGAACAATTATATTACGCCAAAGTCTGAACAAATATTCCTTAAAATTTAAATTAGCCTTCAAGCACCCAAACGAGTTTTCGCAATTCCAAAGAAAATTTCTAAGAATTCCTAAGAAAAATTCTATCAAAAAAACGTTAAACTGTGAACAATTATATTACGCCAAAGTCTGAACAAGTATTCCTTAAAATTCAAATTAGCCTTCAATCACCCAACCAAGTCTTCGTAATTAGACGCTCGTGATCGAATTTCTAGACTATGTTGGACCTCGAGATTGCTTCTTCATCTCATTCGATTGTACTTACTTAACTGTCTACCGCTATTTCCTCGCGGAATCGTTCATCATTACTCGAACATGCAAATCATCGACACGGGAAGAATTGAAGAAAAAACAGTTCGCCGCTCGCTGGACATTGGCGTGAATATATTTGTAGAGGTTCAGTGGAACGGTTAACGGGATCGATCGTTTGGTAGATCACGAACGCGAGATTTTTCCGAGCGACACTCGTACCGAGTCTGAATACGCAATCGTGTTCCGGAATCGAAGTGCACGCGTCGCGGTACCGTAAGAAGATCCACTTGTCCTCGACTATATACATATATCTGTTCATCTATTAGGTAACGAAGAATAGTCTGCTCGATCTAGATACCGTTTACACTCGTCCTTTGAATTAATCGATTTGAGCAAAGTGTCACATCATGCAATGGCAAGTGGTTCAACCGCTTTTCCAATTAAATAGAGTGTCTCCAGAGTTGAATTTTTTCCGGTGATTCGTTGGATAACGGAAGAATTGAACGAAATTCTGTAACTTGACTATTCTCTTCGAAACACCTTATGAAATCTGAACTATTGCTTAGAATACTTATCGATACGATTCTAAAAAAGGACGTGAAATTTCCGACAAAATTCTCTAAACAATCCACGTGCTAATTACGTATTAGGAGGTATTTGTACGTTCATTAAAAGAGGTGAGAAGTTTCCTACCACCGAAATCTGTCCTAATTTTCCAGAATCGAGAAATGTACAGCGAAAGATTCGTCGCGATTTAACACTAGAACGACCGGCTGGGTCAGATTAGCAACTTTCCAAAGAAAGTGAATTTTCAACATCCGGTAAGTATCGTCGTTTGTAACTTTCCAACGTACACGCATCGATACGAATCTAATTTTCCAATCGCTTTTGGAGACTCGCCAACGGGTCGTGTCTGATATTAAAAAATTCCATTATCTCGTCCGTGACAATTGCCTCGTCTACTCTATCTATGGTAAACTTCGGTATCATTTCGCGTTAGCACGTCCTTATGTACAGTCTTACATTTTACCCCAGGGCGAACTCAGCCCCCTCGAGCTTCACGCTAGAACGTGACGGGCTTATCCTCCGGCACACAGCATCTCACGTCGCCACGCCCGTTTCCGTACTTGGGACAATAGGGTGGATGCTTGTTGGTGAAGCAGAAGGACCCCCTGGTACCTGTCGGCGTGTGTTGTCCCATGGCCACGTATTCTCCAGCTCTGGGAGCGATTCTGGGCCCGGATGGACACCTTCTCGAGCACGGCTCAGCCATCGACTCCAGACCACCGTTGTCGATGCTCTGCGCCATGTAACACACCACCCAAACGTGGCTGCACAGCTGATAATTCGGCTTTCCCTCGCAGAACGGCTGCACTTTGCCACCGTTCACGCAGAAATCCACGTGTCCCATGCGACCGCCTTCTCCGTAATATCCCGCGTTCGTGTGGATCACCTCGACGAAATCCGCGTCTCCGCTGTCCAGACGATTCACGTATCCGAGTCGTAGAAGAGGTCTGGCTGGGTCTAGACCGATGATTCGGTGCATTCTGAATAGGAGAAAGTTGGCCATTATGCCACAGATGTGAGCGCCTAACGAGTGTCCCACGCAGGTTGTTCTTGAAATTGGTAGGCCTAGGTTCCGTAAGGTGGTCAAGGTGCCGGCTAAGCAACGAGCTACTGGACGAAGGTTGGCTACCGCGGCTGGGTAACAGGGTGGCGCGCTTAGAGCACCCCAGTCGACTAGGAAGACGTTGTAGCTGGAGTTCCTGATGTAGGCGTCGCGGAGGACGGATATGGGCAGGGTGTCGTCTCCGCCTGGAAAGGGTGAAACGTGGAATAATGAGAATTTTGGTTGATGCTTCGTTGGTGTTTTCGAGTTTTGGTTTGGCTGAGGTTGGTTGTGTACGGAGAAAGGTAATATCGTGATAGAGATATTGTACTGGTGAAGATGCATGTTTTTAGTTTATAGTGGAAATGTATGTGGAGGTTGACCAAGTTGTAATACGAGAAATGAGGGATTTTTGTGTTACATTGAGTTTGTGAGATTATAAAGATCCATCGATCGAAGAGTTAAGATTCTACAAAGAAATCTATCGAATTGCAAAGTGAGTTTGTTACATGCAAAGGGGATTTCCCACTAAAACTAATATTCCTATATATATTAACTACTAAAATTCGAATTGCACCGATACAAAAATAGTGCACAGTACTGAAAAATTTAATTCACTCGTAAAAATTAATTTTCTCTAAAATTTTCGGAGAGCGAATGATACTCTCACTGTACAGAATACTAATTGTGCATCCTGGCCCAATTATTCCCACCCCAATCAAGATTCCTGCGCAGCTCCAGCAAAGTTTCACATATCACTTATCACAAATTCGATTATTTCCATCTTTCTTTCGCTTGTCACTCGAAAACAACGCAATATTCATGCTAAATGAACTTCAAACAACTACTATCCATGCACCTGCGTATCCATGTACAAGGAGAACGTTCTCCTTGGTCGGGTCGTAGTCCTGTCGCAGCCAATCAGACTCCCTGGAGTCGAGTTCTCGTCTAGGTCGATTATTCGCGTACAAGAATACTCGGATATCGGGATCGGGACAAGAATCTCTGTCGTTTCCTCGTCTCCAAACGCAATCCTCTCGATTGTACTGTGCCGCGACACCATTTTGGATCGCTTCCTGGATCGGACCAAGCGGTTCTTTCTTCGCGGCAGCGTGAACCGCGAGGAAAATCGCGGCGAGCAGAAAGAGCGACGTTTTCAACGTTGACACGAGCATCTCGCGATACGAGAAAGGTTTGTCGTGGCCACGGCGATAGGAGAACTGATCGCGTGCACGGTTATTCTTCGAGTGTCGCTTTGTTCTTCACGTAGCTCCCACCTTTTTCACCTTGTCGATCCTCGTTAGAGAATTAGGGGATCCAGGTGTGGGAGGGAGGGGAGTGGAGCGTGTTTCGTGGATGAGCTGGGTAAAAGGACGACAAACAGGCCTTAGCGAGGTGTTAACACGTTCCCTGCACGTTCTCTGACCCAAACACTTTTCCCTGTTTTTCCTTTTAATCACTTTTTTATCACCTTGTTATGGCAATTTTAGCACGTCCTGAAAAGTGACACGGATCTAAAGGGTCATTCATTTGCTTCTCTTTGAATAACTTATTGATCATTTTCTATGACGATTTCTATCTTTCTCAGTTTATTTTCGGGTTATTTTGGAAAGTGAGTGACATGGACCTAAATGGTCATTCATTTGCTTCTTTTCAAACCACATTTTTATCACTTTGTATGACGATTTTTACCTTTTTCAGTTTATTTTCAGGTTATTTTGACAAGTGAGTGGCATGGACCTAAATATTTGCTTCTTTTCAAACCACTTTTTTATCATTTTGTATGACAACTTTCATCTTTCTCAGTTCATGTTGCACGTTTTAAAAAGTGAGTGACATAGTTCTAAGGGGTCGTTCATTTGCTTTCTGAACCATGTCATTCATATATTATCATCTTTATCACGAATACACAATGAAATTTATTTCCCTATTCTTTTTCTTTTTCTTTACACATTTAGGTGTAATTAAAATTACAAGGAATCAAGTTACAATCTTTAAACGCAGCCTATATCCTTCTTTCTAAATAAGCACTGTATTTGTCCGAATAAAAGCAACAATTATTTTCAAGAAATAAACACTTTGAGAAACATCAAACGTGAAGCAATCACATTACATTACGTATTATCTAAACTAATCACATCATCTATGATAAAAAAAACTACTGTACGACTCAGAAAGTACGAGCGACGAAGATCTAACGAAATAATCGCTGTCAATCGTAGAAAAATGACACGGTACATCGTAAAAAAAAAAAAACACTGTCACTCATATATGAGCGACGTGGTAAATTTTCATACCACTTTCGATACGATAGCCTGACGTCAGACTTTAATGAGAATGGTAATTTTAGGGGAATCAGGTAAAGACCAGGTGACGAACTTGAAATGATCGATGAATGGTGAAACTTGTTCCTTTGATATCGTGTCTGTGGATAGGAAGCACGTGTTTTGTTGATTGCAATAAACGTCGTTGTAGGAAAGAAAATGAGCGAGGAATTATTTCTCATTCCTTCGATATTTTCTATGTATAAATAAGAAACACGTGTTTTGTTGATCAGAATGAATTAGAGAAGGCAAAAAGTGGAGAATTATTTATGTCTGACATTATCGTACGAAGATCCTTCGATTTTCTCACGAAATTTATGCGTATCTTCCTTTTTTTCGCACGAGTATTCGCGTCTATCTCGAATTATCAAATGAATTCGTCAAGATTAATGGCTACGAAAGATGATGCGACATAATTTTACGTAGACTGTGTGTGAATGAAGGAGTTCTTGAAAAATTAGCACGTAAAGGACCTTCGTTGCGTTCCGATTTTCGTCCAAAGAGCGTACGTTTCACCTTTCGCTCTTTGAACTACTAAAGCTTCCAGGAACGAAGTTGGATATGTATTCCGTGGAAAGCCGCGAAAGTGCAACGGGACGCCTTTAGAAACTCCGATGAGTGAAAATTTGGCACTAAAACGGATAATCGAAACGGTACACCGGTTCTTTTCTGCCCGTTTATCGGTAACGGGGACTCATTTGAAACGCAAACAGATGTAAATACATTATGAGCGATCACTTTCTTTTCTTCCGGTGAAGTGTTTCTCTCGAATAGATATGGTCGTTCTGGTATCGACAATGAAAAAGAAAAAAGAAGAAGACGAAAGTTGAGCGAGGAATATAATCGTTTATGTAAATTAAGACAGCTGACAGAAAGAGCGAGCAAGTTGAAATTAATGATAGGTATTTACTTAGGCTTGGTGAGGCTTTTAATTTTACTAATCGTCTGTTGTAACGTATTCGATGTTGTAATATTCCTCTTTATCGATGCGACATCGTATATTTGAATTTTACATTCAAACGAATTTCACTTGTCAAAGGTGTTTTATTTCGAATGTGAGCGTGGTCGATGGATCGGTGAGGATTTTGTAAGGTTTCTTGAGATGGAATATTGGGTGTTGACTGAAAGTGTGAAAAATCGATTTTGTGTTCCAATTAATAGAGAGTATGCTTCGTTAGAGTTTTACACTTCCGCTTTTCTATTCTCTTGCCTTTTGTTCGTTCTGTCTTCGTGCAAGAAATTTGTACTACATACCGCGTTGAGGTAGAATATGTTCTTTAGATAGAATGCTAAAATATTTGCAACGAATACGGATAATTTTTAGAAATAATCATTCGAAATGAATTTTGAGACTAAAATAACTTTTCAGACATAATTATCGAAAGTGAATTTTGGAACCGAAATGAATTTTTAGACATAGTTGTTCGAAACAAATTTTTAGACGTAATTATTCAAAGCGAAAATTAAAAGGAATTTTGTGACTGAAGAGAAATACTAATTTCGAAATCAAAATCATTTTTTAGACATAATTATTGAAAGTGAATTTTGGAACCAAAATGTTTTATAGGCAAAATTACTTCAAACGAATTTTGAAACCAGAATTAATTTTTTGGACCTAATTATTCAAAGCGAGAATTACCAGAATTAATTTTTTGGACCTAATTATTCAAAGCGAGAATTAAAAGGAATTTTGTGACTGAAGAGAAATGAAAAGTAAAGACGATGTTAGAAATATAGAAGAAAAGGAATTCAGACGTTTTTCCTTTGAAATGAATTCTCAGTTACGATTTTACACACTTCAATGACACGAAAAAAAATATATTAATATTGCATTTGCTGGATACACTTTTATTCGATTGCAAGTGAAAGATACGACTGAGTAAGCGATTACTTATTCCATTAGTCTGTATCAAGAGGCCAGGGTCTACCTGTTCCAGTAGTTTGCATGCATTACTCGGTATAGTTACGATCACAATGTCCTCGAATTCCATATCCTCAAGTTCTGTTTACGTTGGGACTTCAAAATTCAAGCTACCAATAACAAAATTATAAAGAGTGATAAATTATTATCTCCTTTATGATCTCCTTATAAGAACGTACATACGTAAAAGATACTTTATCGAACTTCCAACAAAGTGTAAGAATTATATAAATGATTTTTTTATATGTTTGATAATAAGATATATTTACTATCAAATTTTGTTTATTATGAAACATATTATCGCTTATCTCATTTTGTTAAATATATAGGGTGTCGCAATGTTTACGCAGAATCGATATTGATACAAAGAGGATTTGTTGTTTAAAGAGAAAGTTCCGAATTCTGTTGAATTGTGGGCGAAGTGAAAGTAGACGAAATTATGTGTGCGTATGTGAGGAAAAAAAAATGTCAGAACACTGAAACCTGTCTACTGTTTACTTTTTTGAAAGTATATTAACACTTTAGCTTTTAGTATTAGCTTTGTATATGTATGTTATTTTATAATAATATCTTCAGTAGTTAATTTTTCAGTAGATAAATATTAATAGTATTTGTGTATACTGAGAGTTTTAAGAGCTATTTTTGAATGTGCTTTTCACAATATTTTCAATCTCACTGATTGTGAGTGATAATAAAATAAAAATTGATTAAAATAGTCATATATATCGTTTGTAGGAAAACCAGAAATCTATAATGACTTGTGCTTTGTCGACTAAGAACTAAATTATCGACGTCTGGTGGAAGCTTAATTACCGTCCGAAGGTAACATCGTTTTTCCTTTTGTTTCCAATTTTAATCGTTTTTTAATATGTGTATGAAGAAATTTTAGGAAAAGGCATTATATGTAATAGGTTCTAAATACATGAAATATTGTAACAAAAACAGAGTAGTTTGTATCGTTAAAAATTATAAATGCAAAGGTGATCGAATTTTTCGTTAATTGTAACTATATAAATATTTTTAACTATTAACGTATGTACTATGTGTATCACATTTTATAGTAAAATTTTTAAATTAATTAACCACCTAAAGGCACCATTTTTTAGATACCAATTCCGACCATCAATTGTAATAAAAAACAAAACATGAACCTTACAGGAAGTTAATATTTTATTTTAACCGACCATCAATCGCAATGAAAACCAAAATGTGAACTTTACAGGAAGTTAATATTTTATTTTAACCGATCATCAATTGCAATAAAAACCAAAATTTTAATCTTACAGGAAGTTAATATTTTATTTCAACTGACCATCAATTTCAATAAAAACCAAAATTTGAGAAAAATGGATGTTAATATTTTATTTAAAAAAACATCGAATTCAACTCGTCGTTTTAAAACCAAAAGTGTAATTTTTTTAAATACAAATTCTCACGCTCAATTGCAATAAAAATTAAAATTATAAGGAAACAGAAGTTACTTAATATTTTATTTAATAAAACATCGAATTCAAACCGTCGATTTAAAACTTATCGGTCACCTAAAAGTATAATTTCTTTTAATACCAATTCCAACCGTCAGTTACCATAAAAGTGAAAATTACAACGAAACCGAATTTAACATTTTATTTAAAAAACCATCGAATTCAGCTGGTCGATGCGATTTCCCCTCTGTCACCTCTTTCTCAATTCGATCGCATCTCGTTTCCCCCTGAGCGAGACGAAATATTCATCACCCTCCGCAGACTCTTGGAGGAACCAGGCAAGAACCTTTGGATCCCAGCCCGGATATTTTGCAAAACTGCGATAAAAGGTTACCGCAATCTCCAAACATTACGCTCCTTTCCTTCCGATTTTTTTGCTCTCAATATCTCGCAGTCTGGCCGTCCTCACCCCTCCTCCTCCTTCTTCCCTCCTTTGCTTCGGTTTT